TCTCTGCCTCCTGAGCAGCTAGGATTACAGGCGGAGCGATTTTTAGTTTTTGGATGAACTTCCTTACTGATTTCCGTAGTGGCTTGCACTATGTTGTGGAATTTACAGTTCCACCAACAGTGTATAAGTTTCTTTTCCCCATATCCTCACCAGCATTCTGACTGGGGTGAGATGGACTCTCAAAGGTTTCGATTCTTATCTCCTTTATGACTAAGGATGTTGAACAATTCTTCAGGTATTTATTGGCCATTTCTACTTTTTTCAGATTTGTCTGTTATCCTATTATTTGCCATTTAAGTGGATTATTTGTTGTTTTGGTGTTTAATATTTTTGAACTCTATATTATATATTCTGGATATTAATCCATGCATTTGTGTTTTGGTTGACCTGTCACATGAGCTCAGGTGTGAAATTTTCCATTTGAGGTGTTGTGTCAGTGTTCAAAAGTTTCAGATTTTGGAGCTTTTTGGATTTCGTATTTTTGGATTAGGGATGTTCAACCTGTACTTTGTGTTTTCATGGCTTACTTAGAGTCCTCTAACACAAGCTTCTATTTGTAGACTCCTAGGTTTTCTTGCAAGATTTTAATCATTTAGTATATGTTTATATTTAAGTCTATCTGAAATTTGTCCAACTTGATTTTCTTCCAGATAAATAGCTAATAGTGTTAGTACCATCTCTTATGTAAGCTGCCATTTTCTGTATGTATATTAATGATGGAAAGGGTAAAGTATCCCTTACACATGTAGGTATACTTTTCTGGATTCTTTATTGAAGTATCTAGGACTGTTCTGACTTTATGACACATTTTGTTATCTGATAGCATAAGTCTCCCATTTTTTTCAGTTTCATGCTTTTTTTCACTTTTTATTAGCATATATTTATTGTACAAAAAGTTTTCATTATGATGTTTCCATATTCACTTTCATACTTTGCAATAATTCTCAGACACTTATTTTTTCCTTATCCACTCAAAATTATTTTATCAAATTAAAAATCACCCTAGGTAGATTTTTACTACTCTACTAAGTAGTAGAGTGCCTGCCTAGCAAGCACAAAGCCCTGAGTTCAAACCCCAGTACTGTCAAGAACAAAACAAAACCACCCTCGTTAGAATTACACTAATTTAAATATTGAATGGATTGACATTATATGGTATGTATTACTATTTATTCACATCTTATTATCAAATTTGTTTTAATTTTTTAATTAGATAGTTTTTATTTTCTATAAGATTTCATAATTTTCTTCATCTGGATTCTATGCCTTTTAAAGATAATTTTATTCTTGTGTGTGTGTGTGTGTGTGTGTGTGTGTGTGTGTGTGTGTGTTTGACAGGGTCTCATCACACAGTTCAGGCTGGCCTTGAACTTGAGATCTTCAAGTTCAGCCTTCCAAGTGCCGGGATTAAGGCACATGCCACCATACCTAGTTCATAATAATTTTGTTCTAGCCAAACAGTTAGACAAGTGACATAGAAATAGGAAAAGGCACATTAGAATGTAAAGAAACAGGGCTGGTAAAATGGCTCAGGTGGTAGTGCGCCTGCCTGCCTAGCAAGCCTGAGGCCTGAGTTCAAACCCCACTACTGCCAAAAAAAAAAGAAGAAGAAGAATGTAATACAAGAAACAAATATAAGGATATAAGGGCAGGAATGTTTGTCACTATAAATTATGGGTGGTATTACCATTATTCAAATTAATCTTGTTTTAGGCTAGTTAATTAAGTGAGAATTAACCAGGTAGTAGTTTTGATAAATGCTTTGCATTGGTTGAATACTATAAAGGTAAAAGTGAATACTCAGTGGATATATTTGCTTTATGAAACCCAACTTAACATGAAAGGTTTATCAGAGTATGACATTTGCTATACCTAGGAAATTGTCAGTTGTGCAGTACCAATTAGGATGATTGGCTTTACATGGAAAACATCTATGGTATTTTGAAAATACTTCATTTAAAACAATTTAGTTTATGCATATCTCTTCAATTCTCTCTTATTGATTAAAATAAGATATACTATATACTATGCTGTATTAAAAAGGTGGCTATTAATCAGAATAAAACCCAGAATTTCCTTAGAAATGTTTTAGGAAGAACATGAAATAAAAGCAGTAACTACAAGTTGGAAGGTACAGATTTTAATTCTTCCAAACCTCTAACTAGCTTTCTGATTTTTAGACATTTGACTTCACTGAACTTTCATTTTATCAGTAAAAGACAGTTATATACTATCTGACCTGCCTGCCTTACAAAATAAGTGTGAAGTTCAAATTAAATGAGGTAAAGTGCTTGGAATATAGGGTGCAATGTAGATATACAGTGATACAGTTATTAAGTACATAGATACCTCTGCTCTTTCTGTTTTCCTTTGTTTGTTTATCTGTTTTTGCTAGTGCTGGGGATTGAAACCAGGGCTGGCACATACTGGGCAAGTGCTCCACCCTGGACTTACAGGGAGGTTTTTGTTTGTTTTCTCTCTTATTAGCATATATTAATTGTACAAAGGGAGTTTTTGTTGTCTCCCTGCCCCCCATGCTGGGACCATACTCAGGATCATGGACTTGCCAAGCTAGCACACTTCCACTGAGCTAATTCCCTAAGCCTTACAAAGGTGTTTCGTTGTGATATTTCCACACTGCATTAATGTACTGTATCACCCCCTATTACTTTCTTATCCATCCTCCCCCCTTTAAAACAATCTTAACAGGTTTCATTATTTGCTTTCATACATGCATATGAAGTACTTCAATCATATTCAATCCCCCCCCACAACACACACACACACAACACACACACACACACACACCTGTCCTTTCACCCTCTTGCCTCTCACTGGTTTCTACCCCCAAACAGTCCCCTCCCGGCTTTATACTCAGGTCATTCTTTTTTTTTTTTAGGTCTGAATTCTGCATATGAGAGAAAACATTCAATGTTTATCTTTCTCAGTCTGGCTTATTTCACTTGATGATGATTTACAATTCTGTTTTCCTTCAGATGACATAATTTCATCCTTTATAGCTGAATAATACTCCACTGTATATATACATATATACACATATTTATTTATATACACATGCATATATAGATATAGATATATACATATATATGCATGTGTATATATATATAGATATCACATTTTCTTTATCCATTCATCAGTTAGTAGATGGACACCTAGGCTGATTGCATTGTTTTGCTTTATGAATAGTGCTTGAGCTACAGTGTTTTGAGACAGTCTTTCCATGAAACTGAGGCTGGCCTTAAACTTGCTGTGTAGCCCAAGCTGGCCTCAAAGGAAATCCTCCTCCTCCACTCAGTGCTGGTAGTACAAGCATACCTCACTGGGCCTGGCTTGTATCTCTGCTCTAACTGTCTTCTTTCAGTTGATTTGATTGAGATGACATTTAGATGAGAACAGAGGAGCTTGATCAGATGAAGAAAATGTCTATAGAACAGAGCTAATCAATACTAGCATTTTCTAACCAGGGAAGTGCCCTTTGCTTTAAAATTATGTCTTAGATAGAAAGTGTATCCTTGGCTGGGTGCCAGTAGTTCACACCTATAATCCTACCCACTTGGGAAACAAAGATCGGGAGGATCGTGGTTTTGGGCCAGGCTGTGAAAAAAGTAAGAATCCATCTAAAAAAATACCCAACACAGAAAAGGGCTGGAGGTGTGGCTCAAGTGGTAGAGCACCTGCCTAGCAAGTGTGAGGCCCTGAGTTCCAACCCCAGGACCTCCAAAAAAAAGAAGAAAGTATATCCTGACTCATAGTGATGGAAAAGATAAGCAGGAGTATGCGGGTGTGTGTGTGAGAAGGGAACTGGGGATAGACTATAGAGGCAACTTATGAATTGGAACCTTACTTACAATATTTCCTGGATTTGTATGAACATAGATAGTTTTTGTATTCTCTCTGAGCTTTGGTTTTAATTGTAATGAAGGTCTGGTATCAGGTGTTTTTTGGTTGAAGTACAATGCTATTTCTAGTTAGGCAGGTGAGAAATATTGGTAGTTTTAGTTAATTACTTTTTCTAAGATAGATTTAACCATTTAACTTTTTGCTTACATGTTTGACAATAGGTGGTTTGTGTGAAGATTTGTGTGCTAGTCATGGTCCAATGAGCTTGGGAGAGCTGGAGTTGCTGCCAAATGCAAACCCTGTTCTTCCCACAATACTTCTTACAACTCAAGAAAATGATGTTAATTTACCAGAAGCAGCTGAAGATTTTTCTCAGGTACTCAGCTAAGAGCATTTGTACTTAAAATGAGAAGTATAACAATATTGTCTTTGTGTAAAAACATAGTCTTTGGAGTCAGACAGCTTCAAGTCATGTTTCTTTTATTTATTAACTCAAGCCTAGATGATCCTAGCTTAGCCCTTATGGTGCCTTAGAACATATTACTTAACTTCCTCTAAGCCTAAATTTCTTCATCTTTATGTTAAGATTAAAAAAGAGTGTATATACAATGTCTGACACCGAGCTAGTATTATCTTTTACACTTCTGTATCCATGAAATATCTACCTCAGTAATTTGTGCATAGTAGGTACTCAATAAATTTTATTGCATTAAATTTTGTAAAATTTGTTACATGAAAGCATAAGAAGTTTCATAATGGGTAAAAAAAATTATGCACTGAAAAATAGAATAATCATTCTCTAAGTTTTGCTCTTAAAAATGCTCATGTTATTAAATATAATTTTATGTTCATGTATTGGCAATTCATTTCTCATTGTGAATTAATTCAGTCAATAAGTATTTATTGCATGGTATTGTGTAGTTTTGCATGATGTTGAAGAAGTATAATAAATTTATATAATACAAAGGTTGTTTATGGACCATACCATTATGTACTACTAACCTGTGACCAAGCAAAGATTAGGAAAACTAATTAACAGTGAACAAATATCTGGTAATAGCTACTATATAAAAATTTTGTGACCATAAGTTAGGCAAGAATTTCGTGGATATGATACTAAAGGCACTATCTGTGAAAAAGATAACTTAAAAAATTAGTCCTACCATAAGTAAAACCTTTCCTCAAAACACAGTATTAAGAAAATGTAAAGACAAACAACAGACTGAGAGTATTTGCAAATCACTTACCTGCTTAAAAAAAAAAAGACATATCCACAGTATATAAGAAACTCACAGAACTGAATATGAAGAAAACAGTCTAATTTAAAAGTGGACAAAAGATTTGGACATTTACTTCATTCAGAGAAGATATATGAAGGGCAAATAAGCACATAAAAGACCCTCAACATTGTTAATCATTAGAAAATGCAATTAAGTCCAATGTGCTACTCTACCACTCTACACACGTTAGAGCTCTAAGGTTCAGAACACTACCATGCTGGCAAGGATGTGGAACAACTGCATTCTCATACATTGTTGGCTGGGAGTCTTAAAATGATCCAGCTGCTTTGGAAAACAGCATCTTTAAAGCAAGGTACACACTCAGCACAAGACCCATGCAGTGTACTGCTACTTTCCCAGAAAATCTGAAACATGTCTACTCAAAGTCTTGTACATAAATGTTCATAACTTTATGTTTGTAGTAGCCAAAGACTGGAAGCAACACAAATGTCCATCAAATGGTGAGAGGAGATATTGTATTTATTACTACTCAGCAATAAAAATACATGAACCCTTACTATATACAATAACTTGTTTGGTTTTTATAAAAATTATATTGAGTAAAAGAAGCTAGAGCTGGAGGTGGTAGTGCATGCCTATAATTCCAGTTATGTGACATGTTATGTAGAAATTGGGAGGTTCACAATTTGAGGCCAGCTTAGGCAAAAACATGAGACCCTAACTGAAAAATAATAAAAAGCAAAAGAGGACTGAGGGCATGGCTCAAGTGGTAGAGCACCAGCAAGTGCAAGGCCCTCAGTTCAAACCCTGGTACCACCAAAAAAAAAAAAAAAAAGGCTAGAACCCCCTCCCAAAAACACATAGTCATGATTCTACTTAAATAAAATTCTAGAAAATGCAAATGTATGGTAACAGAAAACATTTTGGCTGTTGGGATGGTATGGGATGAAGGTGGGAAGAGCAAGAAGGAGTGTGCACAAAGCAGCGTGAGAAGCCCTGAACTGATGGATGTGCTCATTGCATCATCTTCAGGCGGCATGCTTTCGGGTCTGTGTACATGTGTGAGTCTTAGCTGACTGTGTATCTTAAATATATGCAGCTCATTGTCTACCACTTATACTTTGATAAAGCTATTTTAAGGAATAGAGTTACATACCTTTAATTGGTAGCCTGTTTTAAACAAGTACTTATTTATCTAGCAGTACTGGGGCTTGAACTCAGGGCCTTGCACTTGATAGGCAGGTACTCTACCACTTCAGCCACACACCCAGCTGTTGGCCTGTTTTAAAACAAAACCATTAAATGTTACCAGAAGAGTGATCCTCAAAAGATTCCTTTGTTATACTTCTCTAGTTAAGATTTCTTTATTTATTTCTTTAGTATGGGAAGTAATAACAATGCACTTATTTATAGAGCTTGATTTGCCAAATGCTCAACTAAGTTCTTTACATATTTTAGCTAAATATCCCAACCTAATGATGTAGTTGTTACTGTTATCATTTTGTGAATGAGGAAATGGAAGGATTGAAGAGTTATGCAACTTCCTCGAAGTCAAACCTAGAAACAGCTTAATGAAATTTGAACACAGGCCGTTTGGCTCTGTGGTACATAGCTTTATTCACCGTGGTAAAGGAAGGGAACCCAGAAGGAGGTGTCAGTCTCAGCAGTGGGAACCAGGAGGGTCGCACATGTTGAGTATACCATATGTGAAAAGCTTGGGTCTGAAAGAGTTTTGGACTTCACAATTTTCTACATTTGGGAGCATGTGCATATATACAATGAGATATCTTAGTAATGGAACCCAAGTCTAAACACAGACTTCATTTATGTTTCATATACACCTTATACACATAGCCTGAAGCTTATTTTATTTTGTAGGTGATTGTACTAGGGTTTGAACTCAGGGCCTTGTGCTTTGCTAGGCAGGTGCTCTACCACTTGAGCCACACCTCCAACCAAATGACAAAAAAGCAATTAAAAAGCAAAACATAGTATTAATTTTTTATATCTTAAATACCCGAATAATTTAACTGCTCAGAATCTTTTAACTTAAGAAGTAATGTGGTTTCATGTTTTAAATTCTTCAGTATCAACAAAAGCAAGTCCAGGATGTTAAGCAAGCTGAATACAAACAAGCTGTACAAAGTCATTTAATACATGTAAGAAATAAATGTGACATTTTACTTTCACAACAAGGTAAGACTTGTTTTCATAACAAGTAATAATTTATTTGCAATATTTATTAAATATCACTTAATTGATAATATTTATTAAGTATTTGGTTTTATTTATCACACAAAATTTAATACTTGTCCTAGTGAACAAATATGTAATGAGAATTCTTTATTTTTATATACATCTTGCTCTCTAGGGCATTTTGTTTGTTTTCTCTCATTTAGTTCATTTGAATGAAGAATCTTTTATTTGTTAGTTCTTTTTACCAGTAAACATTATTGCTAACTCATTTTAAACCTCTTAGCTGGTGTTTTTTCTTTGATATTACCTTTTGGTTCTCATACAATTGAATGTTGGGGGTCTCTTATCTGCATTTATATCATAGTTGTCTGTCTTTAATTATAATATGCTAATGGCAGGAATTGTGACTGAAACATGCTCTGTTAAAGTTAGTGTTGTGTATTGATGTTAACCAACAAATACAGTTTAGAAACAAATGACTTGCACATTTCTGTTAAATAATTCCACAGCCAGCATGAAAGCATTTTGATGTGGTCCTCATGTTTCCACAAGGCTGTTGGCCTGGTGCTCTGTGCTTCATGCTTATTAACCATTTACATTTTAAATAACCTAAGGTCTCAAATTTGGCAGGAGAAATTAAGATCTCTTTTGTTTAAAAACTTGCCGCAATCCAGGAAGAGGTAGGTATTCAGAGTATTTTGAGTAGTGGAGTGTCTTTCTTTGCTTTTATAGCTGATTTTTATCTAATTTTCAAGTAACACTGGAGTGAATCCATATTACTGACTGTGTGATGCAGATATAGCTATGGACCCAAGTGGGGAGGCGCTCAAGGTAATCATTAGGATTACGCCATATGAAGTTTATGTTCTAACTCTTCCAGCTTTTTTCCTATTCCTATTACCAGTCTTTCAGTATTTTGCCCTCTTCTCCATTTTTTTATCCTAAGCATAGTACAATAGTGTTAAATTATATTTTAAAATCCTAAGAAAAGTTGCTTATGAAACTCTTCTCGTGGCGATTGAAAAAGTAACCCGGGCAAAATACAGATATGAGACATTAAATGTTCTTAAGATAATTTCGGGACTGACTGTATGTCCTTCTACTGACCACACTATTAATGCTCAACATAGTTCATTTAGTTTGGTTTTTTAAAAAATAATAATTTCTTAAAATTATAAATGAATTTTGTTTTCTTGGAAGATGCTGTGTCTCATAAAACAATTGTTTTTCTCAGGTCATAGGAAAATATCTCTGGTAAGATTTTAAGACTAGGCTGGCAAAATAGCTCAAGTGGTAAAAGCACCTACCTAGCAAGCACAAGGCCCTGAGTTCAAACTCCAGTGTCACCAAAACTAAATAAATAATTGGGGACTGGGACTGTAGCTCCGTGGGTAGAGCAACTGCCTAGTAAGTGTAAGGCCCTGAGTTCAAATCCCACTATCACCAAAAAGAAAAAAAAGTTAAGACTAAGTATCTCTTTTAGGAAAGTGACATTATTTTCAGTTTCACATAAATGTCTGACCACAGGATGGCAATAGTTATATTCTTGTGAACTACACCGATACTATTAAGTAATGTCCTGACATTTAATAAGTCCATAAAAATCATAACAAAAATAAAAGAAGCCAAAGTGTTCACTAGTGGGAGGAAGTTTTATTTAGAAAGCGTTTACAACAGTTGGGCTTATTATGTTTACTTTTTTTTACATTTAATTTTACATCTAATACAAAAGGTTAGGAGAGCAGACCTGTTTCAGCCTTGACTAAGACAAATAAAAACCTAGTGAGGTATAAATAGACCATTTTAGATAGATGCCAAGTGTTTCACCCTCTAATTGAGCCATATCTGCATAATGAATATTTTTGAGTTAATATGATTGCCTTGGCAAATACAGTCAGTTAGGACTTTTTCCTATAAATTTTGTGGGTTATATTTTTTTCTGATGAAATTCTGAGATATGGCCAAATGTTTCAGAGAATAGAAGAGTCAGAATGCCAAAATAATCCTCTAGGGCTCTCAGGACTTTGGGTGACTTTGAATGAATTCAGTCTTGTTTCTCATACACGAGGTTAGAGATAAGGAAATTCACTTTATCACAAGGGAATCAAAACCATGTCTTTTCTGGCAGATACAAGCCTCTAAGAATACTCCAAATTATGGCTGTCTCAGGGAGAAGTATGCATTTCACTTTGAAATGCATAGTAGCTTCATATGTATGTATACAGAAATCTTGCTGTGTACTAGCCATAACAGTTCTTTCAATGACCATCCATTAAATTCAAGAAGACATGGCAAGATTCCAGCACTGTGCCTGAGCAATCTCTAAAATCCTTGTTTTCTTCTTCTCCGTTAATTATTACTTCCAGATTTTGATGTAGAAGAGAGAAATTGAGTTGATTGTTCTGACAGGTGGTATCTTTGGAGTCTCAGAATAAGACCTTTTCCTTGAACATTGAACTCATTGGGTATATTTTCATCATCCAATACTATTATTCTGATTCTGTGCACTGATGGTGTGTCTTAACTGTTTTATAGTGACAGCAACTTCTTCAGAAACTGGCTTTCCTTTCTGTTAGTCCTCTTTTACTGTGCCAGTTAACTCGGGCCACATCTTTTGCTGTGCAGGTTAACATTCTTCAACACAAATGAGAGGCTAGTTTTAAATCCATTTGTTTGTGGATTTAAAGAACAACTAAGTCCTATGAAGTTATGTGCTAAAACACATCTTTAGATTTTCTCTTAAAATCTTTAGATTTTCTCTTAAAATTTTAAGACCATGATAATAATTACAAAATCAAACATACTATACTACCATCAGTGTGGGGAAAATTAGATCATCTGTCCTGTGGTTGTCAAAAGTTTTTTGAAAATCACAACATTCTTCTGTTTTCTTGTTTGTAGATTATCTATATTGCTCAGAGTATACATATATATATATATATATAATTACTAAAAGTAATTTGCCAATATCAGTTTACATTTTTGTAGGAAATATACTTATAAAATCACAAATGTTTCTTTCTGGCATTACATCCTGAGTTTAATTCTTAGCTGTCTTAGCACTCTTTCTGCCTCACATACTGTGATTATGACGCTCTTTACTTATTTATGTATTTATTCATTTGGCTGTACTGGGGTTTGAACTCAGGGCCATGTGCTTGCTGGGCAAGTGCTCTGCCACTTGAGCTATGCTCCCAATCCTTTTTTGCTTTAGGTTATTTTTTAGATAGAGTTTCACAGTATTGCCCAAGGTCAGCCTCAGATCATGATCTTCTGACCTATGCCTCCAGAGTAGCTGGGATTACAGATATGTACCACCATACCTGACTTGTTTATTGAGATGGGGTCTCACTAATTTTTTGTCAAGACTGGCCTTGAAGTTTGATCCTCCTGATCTCCACCTCCGAAGTAGCTAGGATTATAGCCATGAGCCACCTTGCCTAGTTCTGATTATGACTTTAAATATAGGAGAATTCAGAATTCAAAGGTTATATATATTGAGAAGCTATTTCTGAACACATGTGCAAATGAAATCATTTTTGATCTTTAACAAATTAGTAATTTTTTTGCCTTTGTATTTGAGATATAGCTAAATTACAATAGGTATCATAATTATACTTGATCTAGATAGCTTCAAAAGTTTTGGGGTTTTTTGGCAGTATTGGGGTTTGAACTCAGGGTCTCATTCTTGCTATGCAGGTGCTGTATCACTTGAACCACTCCGCCAGCCCTTCAAAAAGTTCTTTTAAGTTGGTTTTTTATAAATTATAAGGTATGATGTTGATTTCCAAACTATTTACATGTGGAAAGGCCTAAGGCTCAGTGGTAGAGCACATGCCTTGCATGTGCATGCACGAGGTTCTGGGTGCAATTCCTAGCTCCAAAAAGAAACAAAACGTGGATCTCTGACAGGGAGGGAATGGAGCACAGACTGAGTCTGCTAGAAACCCATCATTTTAAATGTGTAACAAGCACTGTCTGAATAAATGTGTCTTCCACAAATCTGTGCTATTATTGATTAGAAAATGGAAAGTTACTTTGAAATGTGGCTGGATTGGGGAGTTTTACTTTTACCTAGGATGAGGAAGTGGAAAAGAATGTTGCTTCTGCCTGAACTATAATAAAATGTCAGTTACACACAAAGTCATAACAGTTCTTGAACTCATCAGAGAGCTTGGGATGCAGACCAACTCAGTAGTCTAACATCCAAAGAAGGACAGTTAGCTCCACAAAGAGGTGGGGCAAACACTGTTTCCCTTGTTCCAGAGTGCAGTCCACAAACAAACTGAGTAGTCGGGAGCCATCAGTCAGACAGATAAAGAAGGATTTGGCTAAGCTTTTTTAGTGGGCTGCTAAAGGCCAAATATATATGTACCCACTGGCTATCACAGACATAAGGGGATTCACAGCTACTTTTAGGTTCTTCTCAACAGATTTCTAGAGATAGATTGGGGAGGGCAAGAGATGGGAAAGAGTCTCCTTTACTGGTACAAACCACAAAGGGGAATGGCTGTCACTGCCAGAAATGCAGGTTACCTTCTTTTGACCTATCTCCCATAAGAACAAAAGCTTTAAAACCACAGTCGCATCCAGGATATATATGTAAACCCCCTGTGGCTAGGGGAAGGGTAAATAAAACAAAATTATCCACTGGGTTTTTTTTTTTTTTTTTTTTGCAGCACTGGGGTTTGAACCCAGGGCCTCACTGTTGCTAGGCAGGTGCTCTTAACACTTGAGCCGCTTCACCAGCCCTAAAACCATCCACTTTTAGAGGAAGGAGTTAATCTTGAGCTCACTATCTTATATCAATACATTAGAAGTCTCCTATTTCCAGGGGAAGAGTAAGAAACTCTCCTACACAATATTTGCCAAGGGGCCAAGGCAGAATGTGTCTGTTACTGGGAGAAGTGAGGTCTCTGAGAAAGCCCACTGTGAGACCCAAGCATACTGGATCTGCCAGGGACTGATAAAGAAGCAGGAGAGTAGAGAGCTACTCCTTC